TGTAAATGGATTAAATGCTCCAGCCAAAAGACATAGACTGGCTGAATGGATACTAAAACAAGACCCATATATATGCTGTCTACAAGAGACCCACTTCTGACCTAGGGACACATACAGACTGAAAGTGAGGGGATGGAAAAAGATATTCCATACAAATGGAAATCAAAAGAAAGCTGGATTAGCAATTCTTATATCAGACAAAATAGACTTTAAAGTAAAGACTATTACAAGAGAAAAAGAAGGACACTACATAATGATCTAGGGATCAATCCAAGAAGAAGATACAACAATTGTAAATATCTGTGCACTCAACATAGGAGCACTTTAGTACATAAGGCAAATGCTACAGCCATAAAAGGGGAAATCAACAGTAACGCAATCATAGTAGGAGACTTTAACACCCCACTTTAACCAGTGGACATATCATCCAAAATGAAAAGAAATAAGGAAACACAAGCTTTACATGACACATTAAACAAGATGGACTTAATTAATATTTATAGGACATACCATCCAAAAACAGCAGAACACACTTTCTTCTCAAGAGCTCATGGAACATTCTCCAGGATAGATCACATCTTGGGTCACAAATCAAGCCTCAGTAAATTTAAGAAAATTGAAATCATATCAGACATCTTTTCTTGCCACAATGCTATGAGATTAGCAATTACAGGGGAAAAAAAACATAAAAAACGCAAACACATGGAGGCTAAACAATACGTTACTAAATAACCAAGATATCACTAAAGAAATCAAAGCGGAAATCAAAAAACACCTAGAGACAAATGCCAATGAAAACATGACGATCCAAAACCTATGGGATGCAGCAAAAGCAGTTCTAAGAGGGAAGTTTATAGCAATACAATCCTACCTCAAGTACAAGAAAAATTTCAAATAAACAACCTAACCTTACACCTAAAGCAATTAGAGAAAGAACAAAAAAGTCCCAAAGTTAGCAGAAGGAAAGAAATCATAAAGATCAGATCAGAAATAAATGAAAAAGAAATGAAGGAAACAGTAGCAAAGATCAATAAAACTAAAAGCTGGTTCTTTGAGAAGATAAACAAAATGATAAACCATTAGCCAGACTCATCAAGAAAAAAAGGGAGAAGACTCAAATCAATAGAATTAGAAATGAAAAAGAAGAAGTAACAACTGACACTGCAGAAATACAAAGCATCATGAGAGATTACTACAAGGAACTATATGCCAACAAAATGGAAAACCTGAAAGAAATGGAAAAATTCTTAGAACAGCACAACCTTCTAAGACTGAACCAGGAGAAATAGCAAATATAAACAGACCAATCACAAACACTGAAATTGAAACTGTGATTAAAAATCTTCCAACACACAAAAGTACAGGACCAGATGGCTTCACAGGCAAATTCTATCAAACATTTAGAGAAAAGCCAACACCAATCCTTCTCAACTCTTCCAAAATATAGCAGAGGGAGGAACACTCCCAAACTCATCCTACGAGGCCACCATCACCTTGATACCAAAAACAGACAAAGATGTCACAAAAAAACAAAACTACAGGCCAGTATCACTGATGAACATAGATGCAAAAATCCTCAACAAAATACTAGCAAACAGAATACAACAGCACATTAAAAGGGTCATACACCAATGATCAAGTGGGATTTATCCCAGGAATTCAAGGATTCTTCAATATATGCAAATCAATCAATGTGATACACCATATTAACAAACTGAAGGATAAAACTCATATGATAATCTCAATGGATGCAGAAAAAGCTTTTGACAAAATTCAACACCAATTTATGATAAAAACCCTCTAGGAAATAGGCATAGAGGGAACTTACCTCAACATAATAAAGTCCATATATGAAAAACCCACAGCCAACATCATTCTCAGTGGTGAAAAACTGAAACCATTTCCACTAAGATCAGGAGCAAGACAAGGTTGCCCACTCTCACCACTATTATTCAACATAGTTTTGGAAGTTTTAGCCACAGCAGTCAGAGAAGAAAAAGAAAGAAAAGGAATACAAATCGGGAAAGAAGAAGTAAAGCTGTTACTGTTTGCAGATGACATGATACTATACACAGAGAATCCTAAAGATGCTACCAGAAAACTACTAGAGCTAATCAATGAATTTGGTAAAGTAGCAGGATACAAAATTAATGCACAGAAATCTTTTGCACTCCTATACACTAATGATGAAAAATCTGAGAGAGAAATTAAGGAAACATTCCCATTCACCACTGCAACAAAAAGAATAAAATACCAAGGAATAAATCTACCTAAGGAGACAAAAGACCTGTATGCAGAAAACTATAAGACGCTGATGGAACAAATTAAAGATGATACAAATAGATGGAGAGATATACCATGTTCTTGGACTGGAGAATCAACATTGTAAAAATGACTATACTACCCAAAGCAATCTACAGATTCAATGCAATCCCTATCAAACTACCAATGGCATTTTTCACAGAACTAGAACAAAAAATTTCACAATTTGTATGGAAACACAAAAAACCCCGAATAGCCAAAGCAATCTTGAGAAAGAAAAACGAAGCTGTAGGAATCAGGCTCCCTGAGTTCAGACTCCACTACAAAGCTACAGTAATCAAGACAGTATGGTACTGGCACAACAACAGAAATATCAATCAATGGAACAGGATAGAAAGCCCAGAGATAAACCCACAGGCACACGGTCACGTTTCCTTTGATAAAGAAGGCAAGAATATACAAACTGGACAGCTACATGTAAAATAATGAAATTAGAACACTCCCTAACACCATACACAAAAATAAACTTGAAATGGATTAAAGACAAATTTAAGTCCAGACACTATAAAACTCTTAGAGGAAAACATAGGCAGAACACTCTATGACATAAATCACAGCAAGATCCTTTTTGACCCACCTCTTAGAGAAATGGAAATAAAAACAAAAATAAACAAAAATAAACAAATGGGACCTGATGAAACTTAAAAGCTTTTGCACAGCGAAGGAAACCATAAACAAGACGAAAAGACAACCCTCAGAATGGGAGAAAATATTTGCAAACAAAGCCACTGACAAAGGATTAATGTCAAAAATATACAAGCAGGGCTTCCCTGGTGGCACAGTGGTTGGGGGTCCGCCTGCCGATGCGGGGGACGCGGGTTCGTGCCCCGGTCTGGGAGGATCCCACGTGCTGCGGAGCGGCTGGGCCCATGGGCCATGGCCGCTGAGCCTGCATGTCCAGAGCCTGTGCTCCGCAACGGGGGAGGCCACGACAGTGAGAGGCCCGCGTACAGCAAAAAAAAAAAAAAAAAAAAATATACAAGCAGCTCATGCAGCTCAATATCAGAAAACCCAAACAACCCAATCCAAAAATGGGCAGAGGACCTAAATAGACATTTCTCCAAAGAAGATATACAGATTTCCAACAAACACATGAAAGGATGCTCAACATCAATAATTATTAGAGAAATGCAAATCAAAACTACAATGAGGCATTACCTCACAGCAGTCAGAATGGCCATCATCAAAAAGTCTACAAACAATAAATGCTGGAGAGAGTGTGAAGAAAAGGGAACCCTCTTGAACTTCTGGTGGGAATGTAAATTGATACAGCCACTATGGAGAACAGTATGGAGGTTCCTTAAAAAACTAAAAATAGAACTACCATATGACCTAGCAATCCCACTACTGGGCATATACTCTGAGAAAACCATAATTCAAAAAGATATAAACCACAATGTTCATTGCAGCACTATTTACAATAGCCAAAACATGGAAGCAACCTAAGTGTCCATCAACAGATGAATGGATAAAGAAGATGTGGCACATATATAGAATGGAATATTAATCAGCCATAAAAAGAAATGAAATTTAGTTATTTATAGTGAGATGGATGGACCTAGAGTGTGTCATACAGAGTGAAGTAAGTCAGAAGGAGAAAGACAAATACCATATGCTAACACATACATATGGAATTTAAAAAAAAAAAAGGTTCTGAAGGACCTAGGCACAGGACAGGAATAAAGGTGCAGATGTAGGGAATGGAGTTGAGGACACAGGGAGGGGGAAAGGGTAAGCTGGGATGAAGTGAGAGAGTGGCATGAAGATATATACACTACCAAATGTAAAATATGTAGGTAGTGGGAAGCAGCCGCATGGCACAGGGAGATCAGCTCGGTGCTTTGTGACCACCTAGAGGGGTGGGATAGGGAGGGTGGGAGGGAGACCCAAGAGGCAGGGGATATGGGGATATATGTATACATATAGCTGATTCACTTTTTTATACAGCAGAAACTAACACACCATTGTAAAGCAATTGTAGTCCAATAAAGATGTTAAAAAAAAATCACTCTTGAAAATCCCTTTAATCTCCCATAAAATGCAGTTCTCCTCCATGTCTCAAGAAGTCCAGCATTGCTGTTCTTTTTCAAGCTTTAACACTGATACACTGATTGCTACTTCTTCAGCTGAGTCCCCTGGTGGTCTGCTTGCATTTGGAGGCTGTGAGCATGAGAAATGCATGCAGAAGTGCAGCCAGATAATCCAAAGTACAAGAAACACAGGGGGTAACTAAGTCTAACCCAGGAAACAACAGATTTCCTTTCTTGTCTCATGCTCTCACTGGGTCATACATATGCCCAGGAATGGAATGGGGGAGATGGGATTTTCCACATTATTTAAATTGTTCTCTCAATCATTTACTTAATTATCTTCCTTTCTGGTTGAGTGAGTATAGCTGTATTTGTCTAAATAAAGTTAAAGTCACAATATTCAATTCCTCTGCATAGTCAACCAGATGCACAGTTCTTGGCCACTATGCTAATCTCACTCTACCATTGGCCAGGCACTGGGTGAGGAGATGGCAGAAAACCATGGTGAACATTAGGGTATAGTGGACCTTTTGGTTCCAGATCAGAAAATTGAGAGCAAATCACCAATTTGGGGCTTTTCACAGGTGTATCAGGTGAATACAGTAGTTTCCATTTTGATAATTTCTCTCTCTCTGTTTTTCTCAACAGGCTGGTCCATTCAGGTCCAGGGAAAGGCTCACCCCAGGCTGGTGTAGATCTGTCCTTTGCAACACGAACTGGTACCAGGCAGGGTATTGAAACGCATCTCTTCAGGGCTGAGATCAGCAGGGACCTCTCACATTGGACAAGGAGCATAGTACAGGGGTGCCATAACTCAGCTGAACTCACTATTGAAGTCACCACAGGTGAGCATTGTTGGCTTTGGTTTTGTGATGTCACATCCTTATGGAAAGAATGCACTGTCTACTCCACCACAGCCTCAAAATTGTTTCCATTACTGGCCATTTAGGGTACTTAAAATTCCAGAGATAAACTTAAATTCCAGAGGTAAATTTAAAATTCTTCTAAATTAAGGCACTGAATGCCCTACTAAAATGGAACCTAGGGGTCTGATTGTGAAAATATCTCATCGTCATTCAGGAAAAGTGGGTAACTTGGATAGTCAGATGTCATTTCTACCATGGTAAACAGTGCAAATCTAGAACATTTCCATCATGGTAGAAAGCCCTGATGGTATCTGCTCTGGATGAACAGGATTTTCCCACAAGACCTCTAAGGTTATGAAATAAATGAAATAGACACCAAGAAAACAATACCAAGTGAAATCAATGACATTAAAAGCTGGTTCTTTGAAAAGATAAACAAAATTGATCAACCTTTAGCCAGACTCATCAAGAAAAAAAGGGAGAGGACTCATATCGATAAAATTAGAAATGAAAAAGGAGAATTTACAACTGACACCGCAGAAATACAAAGGATCATAAGACACTACTACAAACAACTATATGCTAATAAAATGGAGAACCTGGAAGAAATGGATAAATTCTTAGAAAGGTACAACTTCCAGGACTGAACCAAGAAGAAAGAGAAAATATGAACAGCCCAGTCACAAGTAATGAAATTGAAACTGTGATTAAAAATCTTCCAACAAACAAAAGTCCAGGACCAGATAAGTTCACAGGCAAATTCTTTCAAACATGTAGAGAAGAGCTAACACCTATCCTTCTCAAATTGAACACTCCCAAGCTTATTCTACAAGGCCACCACCACCCTGAAACCAGACAAAGATACTACAATAAAAGAAAACTACACACCAATATCACTGTTGAACATAGACACAAATATCCTCAACAAAATACTAGCAAACAGAATCCAGGAACACATTAAAAGGATCATACACCATGATCAAATGGGATTTATCCCAGAGACGCAAGGATTCTTCAATATATGCAAATCAATCAATGCGATACACCATATTAACAAAATGAAGAATAAAAACCATATGATCATCTTAATAGATGGAGAAAAACTTCTGACAAAATTCAACACCCATTGATGATAAAAACTCTCCAGAAAGTGGGCATAGGGAGAACTTACCTCAACATATGGCCTCAAAGGCCAATATGACAAACCCATAGCAAACATCATTCTCAATGGTGAAAAACTGAAACCATTTCCACTAAGATCAGGAAAAGACAAGGATGTCCACTCTCACCACTCTTATTCAACATAGTTTTGGAAGTTTTAGCCACGGCAATCAGAGAAGAAAAAGAAATAAAAGGAATACAAATTGGAAAAGAAGAAGTAAAACTGTCACTGTTTGCAGATGACATGATACTATACATAGAGAATCCTAAAGATGCCACCAGAAAACTACTAGAGCTGATCAATGAATTTGGTAAAGTTGCAGGATACAAGATTAATGCACAGAAATCTCTTGCATTCCTATACACTAGCAAGAAAGATCAGAAAGAGAAATTAAGGAAACATTCCCATTTACCATTGCAACAAAAAGAAGAAAATACCAAGGAATAAATCTACCTAAGGAGACAAAAGATCTGTTTGCAGAAAACTATAAGACACTGATGAAACAAATTAAAGATGATACAAATAGATGGAGAGATATACCATGTTCTTGGACTGGAGAATCAACATTGTGAAAATGACTATACTACCCAAAGCAATCTACAGATTCAGTGCAATCCCTATCAAACTACCAATGGCATTTTTCACAGAACTAGAACAAAAAATTTCACAATTTGTATGGAAACACAAAAGACCCCGAATAGCCAAAGCAATCTTGAGAAAGAAAAACGAAGCTGTAGGAATCAGGCTCCCTGACTTCAGACTCCACTACAAAGCTACAGTAATCAAGACAATATGGTACTGGCACAAAACCAGAAATATAGATCAATGGTACAAGATAGAATGCCCAGAGATAAACCCACACGCATATGGTCACCTTTCCTTTGATAAAGAAGGCAAGAATATACAATGGAGAAAAGAGAGCCTCTTCAATAAGTGGTGCTGGGACAACTGGACAGCTACATGTAAAGGAATGAAATTAGAACACTCCCTAACACCATACACAAAAATGAACTTAAAATGGATTAAAGACCTAAATGTAAGGCCAGACACTATAAAACTCTTAGAGGAAAACATAGGCAGAATACTCTTTGACATAAATCGCAGCAAGATCTTTTTTGATCCACCTCCTAGAGTAATGGAAATAAAAACAAAAACAAACAAATGAGACCTAATTAAACTTAAAAGCTTTTGCACAGCAAAGGAAACCATAAGCAAGACGAGATGACAACCCTCAGAATGGGAGAAAATATTTGCTAATGAAGCAACTGACAAGGGATTAATCTCCAATATATACAAACATCTCATGCAGCTCAATACCAAAAAAACAAAGAACCCAATCAAACAATGGGTGGCAGACCTAAATAGACTTTTCTCCAAATAAGACATACAGATGGCCAAGAGGCACATGAAAAGATGCTCAACATCACTAATTATAAGAGAAATGCAAATCAAAACTACAATGAGTTATCACCTCACACCAGTCAGAATGGCCATCATCGAAAAATCTACAAGCAGTAAATGCTGGAGAGGGTGTGGAGAAAAGGGAACCCACTTGCACTGTTGGTAGGAACGCAAATTGATACAGCCACTATGGAGAACAGTATGGAGGTTCCTTAAAAAACTAAAAATAGAACTACCACATGACTCAGCAATCCCATTCCTGGGCATGTACCCTGAGAAAATTGTAATTCCAAAAGATATATGCACCCCAATGTTCACAGCCGCACTATTTACAATAGCCAGGACATAGACGCAACCTAAACGTCCATCAACAGAGGTATGGATAAAGAAGTTTTGCCACATGTATACAATGGACTATTACTCAGCCATAAAAGGGAACGAAATTGTGCCATTTACAGAGACATGGATGGACCTAGAAACTGTCATACAGAGTGAAGTAAGTCAGAAAGAGAATAACAAATATTGTATATTAATGCATGTATGTGGAATTTAGAATAATGGTTCAGATGAACCTATTTGCAAAGCAGAAATAGAGACACAGACATAGAGAACAAACGTATGGACACCACGTTCGGGGGTGGGATGGATTGGGAGATTGCGACTGACGTATGTACACTAGTGTGTATGAAGTAGATGGCTGGTGAGGGCCTACTGTATAGCACAGGGCGGGGAGAAAGACGGTAAAATCTGTTTGAAGGACATATATTAAGTTAACCTTAAAAATGCACTGCAATATACATTAGATGCAGACAAATACTGTTTGACTCCACTTACACGAGGTACGTAGAACAGCCAAATTCATAGAGTCATAAGTACACTGGTAGATGCCAGGGGCTGGGAGGTGGGCAGGGGAGGGGGAATGGGGAGTTAGTGTTTAATGGGGACAGAGTTTCCATTTAGGAAGGTGAAAAATTTGGGAGATGGATGATGGTGAGAATTGCACAACAATGTGAATGTGCTTAGTGCCACTGAACTGGTTAAATATGGTTAAAATAGTATATATGGTTAAATATGGTTAAAATAGTGCATTTTACATTATGTAACTTTTACCACAATAAAAAAAATTCTTTTAAAAAGAATTAAGTGGAATATAAATCCTTTCTCCATCTCTGCTCTGAAGCAGAACTATTCCTCTATCCTAAACGAGTATCTGTCTCTTGAGGTTCCTGAATTAGGTGTTTCATCCAGGGAGGGATGCCATATAAAAACAAGACATTTTGTGTTTACTTTAGGTTAAAATAAATTAAGTTGGCCTTAAAAAAAAAAAAAAAAAAAGACCTCTTAGGTACAGTGTTTCCAAACTTTAGTCACACTGAAAACAAGAACAACAAAAACAAAGTTTTTTAGTTGTACCCTCAGAAGCCTCCGATTGCTGATGCCTATCCCTAGAGATTGTGATGCAGCAGTTCTGGGGCAGGGCCTGAGAATTTGCATCTAGTACAATACCAGGCAGTGCTGGTGCTGCTGGTCCGTGGACCACTCTGTGCAGTACTGCACTAGGGTGCAACTTCCTCCAGCACCCAGGAGGATTCTAAAAGATGGGACCCACGTCAACGTGTAGTAGGGTTTCTCCACATTTCCTTTACTGGTGCAAACATGAAAAACCAGATGTTTTGTAGAATTTCTGCTGCAGCATCTCTGAGATAATCACTGTCTTTTAAAAATTATCCTGAAACTAGTTAGTACCCCCCAATATTTTCCAACATTGTTGAAAATGTCTCTCGGAGTGTCACTGACGTTTTTATTTTTTAAGCCACTCTGTATGGCACGAAAAACTAGAGTTTCAAACCTGAGAGTTGGTCACCTGAAAACTAAATTTAATGAAGTTATACGTGTAATTGCAGAGAAGTCCAGACTCCTTGCAACAACTTCTGGGGTGTTCTAGAAAAGAATGAAGATGCCCAAAGGGGTTTGGTTTAGTTTACATTCCACAAATTTCATAAAATCCTTCTCTCAGTAAGCTGAACTCTACTTTGACAGGAAAACAATGAGGCTGTTAATAGACTAGCCAAAGGAGAATAACAAAGAATTGTGTGGACTGAGCTAGCTGGGTGGTGGGAGAGAAGAAATTATGGAAATGGCCAAAGGTGCAGCCAAGTTTCAAATGGAAAGATGCCTGCAGAGAGTTGGGGGGGAGGGGCTTTGTTTTAATCAGAGCTTCAATTAACTTGATAATGGGTTCAATTTATCCTGTGTAGATTAAGAACGTCTTCAGATAACTGATTACATTATATATAAAGGCCACAAATACCACTTTAGGTCAATTAAAATTAAAAGTAACCAGAGTCAATTAATTCAAACCATCCAGTGGCACAGCTTTCAAATTCAAACATAGAGGAAAGGGGAAAAAACATGTTTAGAGCTCAGGCACCCACATATTCTGCAGATGTTAGAAGTGAAAACTTTCAAAAACGAGGATTCGAGATGGGAAGTCATAACTACATCTGTGCCGTGTCTATGTTATGTTTTGGTCATCCTTGAACTGGACGGGTGGCAGGGGTCTAGGGCCCTTCTGAGAGGATAACTTAAGACTTGCCAAGGGGCTCTTCCCAGGACTCATTAGAGAATGCACCTTTGGAAAATACCAACCCTTTGTTACAAGTTGAAAGATGGCTGCGGTCAGTCGAAGGAAGGGGTATATGTTTTAACCAATTAAAAGCCACCTCATTCTGTGGGCAGATAGACACTCTGTTCCTTCCCCCAAACTCTGAGGGGCTCCCCCCACCCCAGTTATTAGTCTGAGAGCCTCTTTGCCAAGATCCCTCCCCACACGCCTCCGTGTCCTGAGCACCAGCGTGTGAGAAGGCTGTACAAGACAGACTGGAAGCAAAGAACTTGAATTTTGAAATCTAAACCACTGGGTTGTGACATGTTCACCTCTCTGAGCTTTGCTTTTATCACCTATGGTATTAAGCTAAGGTCCTGCTTCTAAAGTGTGCTGAGGTGAAATTCAGTTTGGTATATAAAGCCGAGCTGAGCTGAAGTTGGTACAGAGTAATCAGTACTGCCTATGTCCTCCTAGCCCCAAAGAGCTTTCAGATGTATATGAAGGCCAGAGCCAATTGACTTGCCAGGGCCGGTTAAATGTGGTGTTTTGTGAGGCAAAAATATCCAATCTGATGCTTTTGCTTTTTTTTTTTTTGGCCGAGCGGCTTGCGAGATCTTACTTCCCCGACCAGGGATCGAACCGGGGGCCGGCAGTGAAAGTGCCAAGTCCTAACCACTGGACCGCCAGGGAATTCCCTCCAGAACTTTTTGATTAAGGGTTTTAAACACTCACAAGTCTTCCTAATGGGAACTTGGAATCAGGTGGCAGTCCCCCTGTCCAGCTCATAATCTGAGAGCGCTGGTCTCTTTTCCTAAATGCAAGGTGGACCACAGATAAATGCTGGCACCTAACCTGATCAGAAGGTTTTACTTTTGTTCCGTTGGATCAGAGGGCACCTTGTGGACACCAGCTGAGGTTCCTGAATACCACACTGGACACAGGGAGGAAACAGCATCCTTCACCGAAGGTGCCACACCTGACATCGATCTACAGCAGCAGCTTTTCCAGGACCCAAGATGATCAGATCATCAGGGAAACTCAAAAAGCACTTCTTTCTGTTTATAAAATGAGCTTTATTCAGCTTTTTTAAAATTAAAAATCAGGTTATTTTTTCACTACTCACTCCTGACTTCTTACATGTGTTTTTGTTACCTTGGGTAATGTCACTGGGGGATTGCTTGCTTCTTTCACCAGGTGGTAGACATGGCATTGATTGATCGATTGATTGACTGTGTGTGTGTTGACAATGAGCAGAGGTAGCTTACTCTAAATCAAATGTCAGTTTTTTCCAGCTTGATACAAGGCCATTGGAACACCCGTCTCCCTACATACACGTTGTCAGATGGTCATATAAGGGCTAGAGCCCAGACAAAATCCAGCAAAAGGAATTTCTTTCAGTTCATTTCCCTTAGTTTCACAGGGCAAGTTACATTACAATATCACAATCAATCTGAGGAGAATATTTTCATGAATGATTATTAATTTTTAACTTTAGAAAGAAGTTGGTGGCTGGGCCCTGGGTTTGGGGAGACTAGAAGCTTAAGTGCCTGGGAAAATGGATGGACTTCCATTGTTCATACTTCTGTCTCCATCTGTCTCTCTCAGCTTGCACCTATAAAAACCAGGAGTGCCGGTTGACCGTACATTATGAGAATGGATTTTCTATTACCACTGAACCACAGGAGGGTGTCTTTCCCAAGACAATCATACAGGCTCCTTATGAAAAGCTGAAAATGTCTTCAGATGATGGAATCAGAATGCTGTATTTAGACTTTGGAGGCAAAGATGGAGAGCTTGTAAGTGCACTTTTCTTTAGACAGTGTGGTTTCGTATATTTTGTCTTGCAGTACACCCATTATGGCCTGCAAACATAACGCTGCCTGTATTTATTTAGCGTTTGACTATTTACAAAGTACTTATAGGTTCATGTCTTAATTGAACCTTTAAAAACAGTGAGGGGATCCAATTTTTTCACAGTTCTTTACTTTGGTCTCATTTTCCATGGGAATATTACAGAAATATTTGAATCAAGGAAAGGATCCTTTACAAAGTCAGCATTAAATTCTTTTCAAAGAGGGTCCCACCAGCTTTAAGATATACCATTCATTGTTTAAAAGTATCAAGCATCTGATCTAACCTGGGCATTGCGCCAGGTGTCAGGGATGTAGGGATGTAAAACACCAGTCCTGGCAACCTGGGGGGTCTCAAAGGAGCAGAGAGCATGAAGAGTGCAGACGGGGAGGGGGTGGGAAGGGGCAGAGTGGAGGGGGCAGTGAGGAAACCCAGCAAAAGTGGTCAACTCTACCTGAATGGAGAGAGGGCCAGACAAGGACCCAGAAGTTTTGAGCTCATATCAAAAAGTGTCCAACAAGCTCAGCAAGTTTGTCAGTTAACATAACATTTACACTTCTCATATCATTGCAAATTGCCCATGTATTTAAAATCATGATTTCCTGTGATCGTTACCGCCTACCATAGTGAAAAAATATGTTACTCTAGTTCCACTGAAGGGTGAAAGTGGCACATTCCTCTGCTTTCTAGCAAGTATAGTTCTCAAGAAGACATAGCATCTCATTTAAGCTGTGGAATGTAGAACTTCAAACAGGACCTTGATTTGGAACAACTAGTCTCTGTCTAGGTCCTTCCTAGTCAACAAATATCTGTTGACTCACACTTGATAACGGGGACAGGGGAGATATAAAATGCAGAGATAAACCTCAATTTTAAAGATCTAGTCATTTTAACTCAGCTACTAGCCTTGCACAATTCTCCCTCTCTACTCCCGTCTCTCTGAAGGAAAGGGCCAGGGCCACACTTGAAAGAGCATAGGAGCCTGAAATCTCAAAGTTTCAGCACCACTGTCCTAGATCATGCAATACTACTAGCCCCAGTGCAGTACCAGGTTTCTTCCTATGGGTGTCACAGGAGTCATGACGAAGTCAGTGCCCCGTGGCTGACAGGTGATCTGAACTCACTTTCTGAGAACAATTTCCAGCCAGTCATTTTTCTAACCTTTAAAATAGATCCGCAGAATTTTACAGAGTTTTGTTGTTTATTTGTGTGTTCAATCAGTAAATTCAGCCTGAAGGCACCAGTTTGGAAAGAAGAAAGTGGTTGGAAAGTCCATTTTGCTGAGAATGCTTCTGGTTCAGTTGCTGCTCTATCCATCACCCAGCTGTGCACTTTTTCCTAAGGGTGACTGCTCCCTAGCAGCAGGGAAAAGAACAAGAAGCAGTCTCCTGTTTTATCCATGGCTTGAAAATTCAAGGCTATTTTTGCCCATGAGGAAAAAAATCACTTGTATCTAAATTTCAGCCTTTCTGCCTGTAATTACAACCTGACTTGAAAGACTTAGGAAGGACTGATTTTTTGCTGCCAATATATTAGGCTGATAAGCTCAAGTTCAGACACAGCTCCCCCAGGGTCTAGCTATGCAACCCCCAGAGGCAGGTGCCAGGGAGGAGGAAAGGAACAGAGGTGAGCTGTACAAAATGCAATAAAATGGAGGGTCAGGAGACCCTTGCTCTCTTTCTGAGTGTGGAACTAACTCACCAATTGTCTTGCGCAAGTCCTTTTATTTCTTTGGATCTGAGTCTTTATCCATAAAATACAGTGACTGAAGTAGATAATCTTTAAGGTTACTTCTAAAAGTTGCATTCTGTGTTAGTGAAATAGAATATGGTGATTAAGCCCAGACTCTGGCATCAGACAGACCTGCGTTTGAGTCCATGCTTTCTCTTTACTGCAAGATCTATGATCCCAGAAAGTTTTATAACTTCTCCAAATCTTAGTTTCCCTTATAAAACATAGAGATAGTAACGACAGCTACCTCACAGTGATTTTGTGAAAATTAAATAAGATAGTATATAGAAAATATTTAACACAGCACCTGGTTCATGCTAAATACAACTTAACTTTGCTGGATGTTATTTTATGATCAGGTTGTTATTCCCCAACAGTGTCATCATCAGAACAGAATTGGGGACAGTGGATGAGAATTGGGAGCAACACACTCAATGCTCCTGAATTAGGTCAGGTGATAAAAATTCAGCCTATTAGGCTCTGACCACGCGCCAGCCCAGTAGGAACACACGGAGAAGGATAAAACTTTAGAGGGGGTCTTAACAGACAAGTGATGTACGTGATTACAACAATCTATGAGTATAGGACAGTGAGGACACAGCTGCTTCAAAACCTGGGTTCTGCATTTTATGGTTTATAAGGAATTTTCACATACAGTATCTCATTTTAATACTCTACCCGCTGTGAGTTAGATAGGCCTGGGAAAAATTTTCAGTGACTTGTCCGAGATGATGTACACATCTAAAAAGTATTAGAACCACGACTGAAACCTATGATGTGAAATTTAGTACCGCTTCATACTGTACCTAATCCGACATAAATAATATCACTATCGTGATACCAAAAATAAATGGTTTAGACAGTCAAGAAGGGCAACACTGATATTTATGCTATGGGTATGTATAAATTTCACAGAACTTATTTTGGAAAAAAAGATATACGAGATGTAAGGAATAAGTTCAAAGAGTTATTTTTTTATCTCACTGGGGGGCAAGGATTTAAAAACACAATTGCTCCAGTTAACACTTAAAAGTAGGAAGTGCATAGATCTGTTTGATGTGTAAATGACTATTTTGTATCAAGCATTAGTTTAAAATCTTGCATATTCTCTTCTTTTTGAATTTCAGCAACTGGACCTTCATTCCTGCCCCAAGCCGATTGTTTTCATCATTCATTCCTTCCTGTCAGCTAAGATTACAAGGCTGGGGTTGGTGGCCTGAACAGAGGAGCGAATTGCCTTTGAGAAAAGGAGGGCTGCGATGCCACCGAAAAGTGTCGTATCAGACACCATTTGCAGTGATGCACCAGATGTAGCATGCCACTGTCAGCTTTAGATCCCAAGAGTCCTGTGTAACAGTCCCAGACTCCTCCGTCAATTTCAGCAACTATAAAGGGTACCTTCAGAAAAATTCCACAAGGACTATCAGAATGAAACTGTTTTTTTTAGAACAGTAAAAGGGTAAAGAGGTGAGGCTGATTGGAAATACACAGCATAGCTTTTAAATAATGACAATCAAGGACATGAACATTAGAACAGCATGTGCAGATCTTAATCATACCAGTTTCTAGGCAACTGGTTCACCCAGGTAAGCAAGGGCTGTATAGATGAGAAATGGACATTTTTCACCTCTCCCCTCCCCACCCCAGTAATAAGGACCCCTTGTTTTATTGTGCTTTATTTCCTATTTCTAATTGAGTTGACTTTTGCTGGTAAGGAAAGAAAAGTACTTCAAATGGAAACCCACCTTTTATTTAAGTGTGAAACAGCTGTTACTTTTTCTTAATGAATTATCTTTCAATGATGTAGAATGATTCTGAAGTGTTCTTATTAGCATATGATGAGTGGGAATTAAATAAAGCATCAGATACTGATCTGAGCTGTAAGCTGGTGGATTCTGAGCCAAAGTAGACTGCTTAAATTGCAAAGCTTTGCTGAAGAGTGGTGTGCGTGAAAGATGATTAATTCTGGGACTACACTCATACCCAAAGTCTGCTATCTTAGAGCCATGACTTATAGCTTTATTTATAAAAGCAAATTATGGATTTTTTAAAAAGATTGTCAATGGATATATATATATATATATATAAAATAATTCATGCGGGGTTAACTAATTTTCCCCATTTTGTGGTTTTCAGTGGAAGTACTCAGCAATTTATTGGCTCTTGTTTCTGCCTGTGCTTGTATGCATGCATTTTCAAGCAAGTAATAGAGCAGCCTTATATGATTCTGGTTAATGCTGGGTTTTACATAGAGAGCCAATGTTATAATCAAACCCATCAACAGCTCTTTTGGAATTCCAGGGAAGTAATATAATGACCTGATATTTTTCTACAAGAATATTTTCAGACATCGTATAGCATATTACTGATTTAACACTTTTGCTTTTACCTTTCAAAACAAATTCACTGAAAACACACCTATTATTTGATTTTAAAGTCACTTTTCTCAAATCTTGAAAATTAGCTCTAGAATTTCTGTATTTGTAACCGTTCTCTCCCCTATAGTTTTACATAGACAAATGTTTCAGGTTAGGTTTGTGTGTTATTTTTCAGAACCGTATTTTAGCAAATACCTATGCAAAGAGCTTTAAAAAGTAAAACTGTTTTAAAAGAATGTGATTTTGTTCACTCAGATACATGTGTTTCTTGAGTTTTACTTTAGATCAGCATTTTATTTTAGATCAGTGTTTCCCCAAAGTAATACAAGTAACATGTAATACAAGTTCCAAGGGGCATTGATTGACTGGTGTTTTGTCGGGGGGCAATTAAAGGGATTGGTCATCAAAAATGTTTGTTCAGGGCTTCCCTGGTGGCGCAGCGGTTGAGAGTCCGCCTGCTGATGCAGGGGATACGGGTTCGTGCCCTGGTCTGGGAAGATCCCACATGTCGCGGAGCAGCTGGGCCCGTGAGCCATGGCCGCTGAGCCTGCGCGTCCGGAGCCTGTTGCTCCGCAATGGGAGAGGCCACAACAGTGAGAGGCCCGCATACCGCAAAAAAAAAAAAAGTTTGTTCAATACTGAGTTAAAAAATGTTAAACAGATTTCATGATTGCAGGCCTCCTCAAAGACTTTATTGCACATTGCGATTCTGCAAGGGGGGCATCCTGTGTGCCATTCCTAAAGCTTACCTACAGAACTCCTCTCTAAAGGAGCTAGTGTTAAAACACACACACACAAAACAAAACAAAACGAAAAATACATTTTGGAAAACACAGCTTTAGGACACTGATTTTGTTTTGTTTCCTATTTTAAAATGCTAAAGAGTGAAGTCCCAGCCTGAATATTGTAGGAAATCTTTGATGAATTGTAAATTGTAACGTACTCTTTCATTATATATTTTCAAAATCACTGGATTGTTGTTATACGAGAGAATTATACTTGTGTATTGTAAATAACATATTAAAATATATATATTAATGCCAATAGCTTAATTCAACAATGTGTAATCTAAGGTGCTCAGTACTACATGAAGTGTGAGTTAATTACTCATAATTTAGTTGCAGAGATCCTATTATATATTTATAGACAAAATGATCATAATTACAAATATTATTTCTTCATCACTTGAGTTTTGGACTGATTAATATCTGGATGCGGGTCAACAGAAACTACATTCTCTGTGTTTATAAAAGTTTAATTTAAATATTTATATTTTAGAAAAATATATTTGAATAAAGTTAATGCATTTTCTGAATTAAAATGTGTTATTAGCAAGAAATAGAAAATTTTACTAACAGAATTGTGTAGATAAATCATTTTTCTTCCTCAAAGTTAAATTGTATCATATCAGAGTGGCTATGATGAATCAATTTAAATACTCATTTTTTCTCATTCTGAATTCAACAGGTTATAAGTTTACACTGTAGATTTAATCTTGTTGATGTGTGTTATGAATGTTGTGAATAACACAAACTCATACATCTGGATCGTGCGTGGGTATGCTTAGCAAATCCACTGAGTGATTTTGGGGGGTTTGTTTTTGTCCAGTTCCCTCTGTGCTCGATCTGTTTCTTATTTGAATTGATGAATTATTAAACTCACAATGTCTGTCCTTTTAGGGGCAAACCAACACCAATGAATGATGTCTTAATCTATATTTTGTGGGAAGCTGCCCATTTGTTAGATGTGATTAGGTGAGCCCTTTGGTGTGGTGACATATCTTTAAACCATCCCGTTGGAATTTAAAGAAAGCCAACAGGAAGATTGCTATCAGTTTTTTTTTCTGACTTGAATTAAGTAGGAGGAACAAAACTATAAACCTATTCAAAAAAACACTCAGGCAGAGACATTTCATTAATTCTATCAATTGATGCATTAAAATGCTGAAAAATGCATGTTTCTTTATCCAAATGCTTGTTGACCCTGCTTGGTTGAAGTCAGAAGGAGGTCTTAACGGGCAGAAGGATTCTTCTGAAATTAATGAGCAGGGCCTTTCTGGCCCCTGTTACAAATACTGGATACTCTATCTTGACGGGATTGGAGTAGACTGGGGTAAGGGAGTAATTTTTGAATGTACCATGAGTTAAAAAAAAAAATGTGCCTATGTTTATAGCACTATGGCTATCATGTAAAATTGATATATGAATTAAATAAATATTCATCTCTGAATATGGTGGGCTGGCTGGTGGTTTCCTAATAGCCACAGAGGGATATGGGTGTGTAAAGACACATCCTGTTAGTCTGTGCCTCCAAGACTGGCCTTGAAAGGTGCTAGTGGGTGGAGGTGAGGGGATGATGCCACTAGCAATTTTTTTGTGTGTTTTTGTGTGTATAGTTCCAGGATGGGTCTTCACCTGGGGCTTAGGGCTTTCAACTCTTATTTTAACTAAATTTTCATGGGATTTTACCTGTACACCAAGCTCCAAAAACTCAAATTCTCATAGAACTTGGTTCGTGTCTAAGTTACTTGTAATAAATGTAACACGCTGGGGTTGAGAAGTCTTTTACTATTTGAAAATTTAGTAGTATTGAGATTTAGAACTGTAGAATCTGTTTTGAAGAGACTTCAGAGGTCATCAAGCGCATTATTGCTCAAAGTTTACCTATAATTTTAGCAATACTACCTTAGTATTGATATTTTAGGATATGGAATTTGCTAGTAATATAGCAACATGGTGTATACATATAAAAATGAATGTAGGGCTTCCCTGGTGGCGCAGTGGTTGAGAATCTGCCTGCCGATGCAGGGGACAAGGGTTCGAGCCCTGGTCTGGGAAGATCCCACATGCCACGGAGCAACTGGGCCCGTGAACCACAATTACTGAGCCTACGCGTCTGGAGCCTATGCTCCGCAACAAGAGAGGCCGCGATAGTGAGAGGCCCGCGCACTGCGATGAAGAGTGGCCGCCGCTTGCCACAACTAGAGAAAGCCCTCGCACAGAAACGAACACCCAACACAGCCATAAATAAATAAATAAAATTAATTTTAAAAAAATGAATGTACACCAATTATAATTTTTGGAAAAATCTGTACCACCACCACATACACTATAATCCAAGTACTACATTTTGACAAACATTGACCTTGTAGCATATGCCACTAAATTCAGGAATCTCTTTCTGAACATCCCTTGTACTTGTTCATTCCACCTGAAATTGAAAATTTTCAGCTATACAGAGGAGGCTCCTTATCTCCTGAGGCCAGCCATCCCATTGCCGGATGGCTAGAGTTGTTAGAAAATTCTTACACTCGTAGAGCCAAAACTTAACGTCTGTGTCAATTTTAGTCATCACCCTGTTCTACTCTAGAAAACACTGAAAGTCCAATCTCTTTTCCACGTGAGTGTCCTGTATAAAAGACAAATCAAGGCTGGGGGCTCCTAGGTAATATAAAATGATCTGAAAATGGCTTTAAATAGGATATTTAAACTTTCTCGTTTTTATCTTAAAAGAACCAATTGGCCGAGATTAAAGCTTCCATAATACTTAGTGGTGGGAAGTGACGGGAAAACAGGCATTTATACACCCATTAGTAGGTATATACTTGGCAATAATTTGGAGGGCAATTTTGCAATATCTATAAAATTTACAAATACATGTACCTTTTGACTTATGGGAATTTGTCCTACAGATATATTACAGAAGTGCACAAAGGCTAATGTATAAAGATCATCTTTGCAGCAACATTCGTAACAAGAAGCTGAAAAGGTCCACGTGACCGTCGATAGAGCGAAATAAATCATGGCTCACCAATGCATCAGAATATTCTGCAGCTGTTACAAAGCATGGTCCATCTAATATGGACAAGATTTCTAAATGCAAGTTCTGAAAAATGCAGATATAGATATGTAGATACATAGTCCATTTGTTCTTTAAAAAGAAGTGGTTCTCAAGAAGAATGGTACTGCGGGGCATTTGGAAGTCTGTGCTAGTGTTGTTGTCACAATGATGGGGCTGGGGCGGGGGAAGGGGTGCAGGAGTATGACGCTATCAGTTTGATGAACAAGAGCCAGGGTGGTTAGATTCCCTGCAATGTGACGACAGTCCTCACATCCAATAGAACCATTTCCCACACAATTATTGTGCCTGCTGAGTTAGGTGAAAAACACGTATAATGATCTGAGCCTAGACCTGACTACATTTTACAAATGAAAACATTTTTTGACTGATTCAATATATTCTGAATTTTCTAGGTATACAACTACCATGCATATGGAAGAAAGGCTGTGTTTTTGTTTTGCTCAGGGCATTTTATAAAACATTTTATAAAAACAAGTCACTGGTAGCGAGTGTGTTTGTGGTACTTGAGTCAAACACATGACGGCTATTATATGTGCCTCATTCATGCTGAATCCAACTAAAAGTCAAATATTCGACTACTTCATTTTGTCTTTCAGTGTAGTAGTACTCCAGCTTCTCCATATTGAAATGCATATTATTTTATCATCATTAATCTTTTCCAAAACTTCTTTACAATTAGAGGATATCAATTAAAACAAATTTCTGAGTGCATGTAAGTTAGATTACTCTACTAGGCACATCCTGTGTATCTCCTCAGATTCCCTCAATGCGATTGGCTGGTCTCCCAGACTTTTCACCCGCTTATTCAACTTCAGGCATCACCACAGACAGCTCTGCTTGACCTAAGTGTTTCTGCCACTTAGAGCCAATCCATTGCTTGCCTGGAAACGCTGCTTCCCCGACCTCTCCCCTGGGCTGCTGCCAGGCAGCCAGGCTAAGGAGAGACATACTTGCATTTCTGGGTTCTCTCATCAATGCCAGACTTGGATGAAAAGCCGCTCTGTAGGGCATAGGTGTCCTGAGCAGCTGCTAAAGGTGATGAGTTGAGCAACCCGGATCTGTAGGCGAGTTATTGAAACCTTTGTGGAGCCAAACGGGAGATGATCACAGGAAGGAGCTGGGCAGATAACCTTCCTCTGCCTCCTTCCTGTGGACCCGCCATGCACCGTATATCCTGAGAGGCATCCCATGTGACTGCACACCTGCTAGGTGACTGGCCGTGTCTCTCTGGGCTTCATGAAGCAGCAGCCGGTGTCATCATGCATCACCTGCCTTGCTTCCCTGCCTCCTGCCCGCTTCTTGTCTTCACTCTCAGTGAAGGCCTTGGAATTGGGCCTCCTAAATAAAGCATCAGCACCTAATCCTTGCCACATGTTTCATTTTCTAGGGAACT